TGCTGTTAGTCCCAGGGAAGGGTCCTGGGCTGTGGGAAACTGCAAGGTCCCCAGGCGGTTTGCGGCCCCCCTCATTCCCCTCCTCCGCCCCTCAGTGAGGCGCTGGAGAGGATCTGGGTGTCTCAAAGCCGTGATGCGGGGCGGGTGGCCTTCTATGACGCGGGGAGGAGGGCGTTCCTCCATGCTTTCTCTGGGATCCCATTCTCTGGAGAATCCCTGCAGCCTTCGCTTGTATTTTCAAAGAAGTCAGGCTCTGGATTTCGTCCTAAGGCTGCTGAGAGTTTTCCTCATGGGCCCTCCTCTCCAGTTCAGAAAGATTCATGGAAAATTGTGTCTTCCTTTGTCAGAGGCACCCTGTCCCCTTTTGTAAAGGCTCTCGGGGACCCCTAAATTCACAATCAACCAAAAATGGGACTAAACTGCTGCCTGATTTTGCCCCTCCTGTTACTAGATTTCCCTCTCCGCCTTACTTCTTCCTGGCCTCCCATGTGTTTTCTCAGAAATGGCAGCAATTTCATGAACCTCAGTTCTTGTTCATGAACATGATTCATTTCAGTGCGTTCTGTGCACTTCGGTGTTTAGTCATGCCAGCCACATGACCACAGAGACCGCCAGCATTCCCAGCAGACTGATTCATTCCATCACTGCACACGAGAGGCTTCCCCTTTGGATGAAGACGAAAGAAAGGAAGGAAGCGAAAAGGAGAGAGATCAGGTTTCTCTATTCTGAGCCAGGAGAATGATAGACACAAGCTACAGTGAGATCATAAGAAGATGGAGGTCCTGTTGGTGGGCGGATCACGGCTTCAGGTCAGTGACTTTGGTCCTGTCCTGGACGGGGTAGCACTCCCTCTAAAGGGCAGGGTCCACAGCTTGGGAGTGCCCCTTGACCCAGAGCAGGTGGCGGTGGTGGCAAGGAGTGCTTTCCCGCAGCTTCGGCTGATCCACCAGCTATGCCCTTTCCTGGACAAGCACTGCCCAGCAGCGGTGATTCATGCTCTGGTAACCTCCCGGTTGGATTATTGTAATGTGCTCTACGTAGGGCTGCCCTTGAAGACGGTCTGGATACTTCAGCTGGTACAGAACAGAGCTGCCAGGTTGCTGATGGGGACCAGTTGTTACTGTCATATAACTCCGGTACTCTACCAGCTACACTGGCTTCCAGTTGAAATCCGGGCCCAATTCAAGGTGCTAGTTTTAACCTATGAAGCCTGAACGGCTTGGGACCAGGATACCTGAAGGAGCACCTCTTCCCTTACATGCCCTCACGCCCCTTAAGATCTGCGGGAGAGGCTTTGCTCCGGGAGCCCACTTTAAAGGAGATAAAAAGAGCAACAACCCAGAGCAGGGCCTTCTCTGTAGTGGCGCCCAGATTATGGAATGCACTCTCTGGAGAGGTATGCCTGGCACCGAGTTTACATTTATTTTGGTGCCAGGTTAAAACATTATTATTATTATTATTATTATTATTATTATTAGAACATTTCTATGCTGCCCCTTGCCGAAGCCTCGGGGCGGCTTACAACACAATACAATACAATACAATACAAAAATAACAATATAAAATTAAAGTTAATAATATAAAATAAATAAAAAATATAAACGATATAAAAGAAGTGATAAAAGAAAAGTTATAAAGGAAAAGAAAAAGAAAAGAAGTCGCCCTGGCCAGATAAATAAGTAAATATTGTTAACAATTAAAATTACGTTTAAATAAAAAGGTTTTCACCTGGCGCCGAAAAACAAGTAACGACTGCGCCAGGCGGACCTCTCTGGGGAGCATATTCCATAGATTGGGCGCCACTGCAGAGAAAGCCCTCCTCCGAGTACCTACCCTCCTAATTTCTTTCACGGAGGGTTCCCGGAGAAGGGCCTCTCCCGCAGATCTCAAGGGGCGGTCGGGCATATATGGATGTAAGCGCTCCTTCAGGTAACCAGGTCCCAAGCCATTTAGGGCTTTATAGGTCATAACCAACACCTTGAATTGGGCCCGGACTTCAACGGGAAGCCAGTGAAGCTGACGGAGGACTGAAGTCATGTGAACATAATGTCCCGTCCCCGTCAGCAACCTGGCAGCTCTATTTTGAACCAAATGAAGTATCCGGACCGTCTTCAAGGGAAGCCCCACGTAAAGCGTGTTACAGAAGTCAAGGCGGGAAGTCACCAGCGCGTGTGTCACCGTCGCCAGGCAGTCGTACTCCAGATAGGGGCGCAGCTGATGAATCAGCCGAAGCTGAAGGAAGGCGCTCCTCGCCACCGCTGTCACCTGAGCTTCCAATGAAAGCTCCGGGTTGAGGAGTACTCCTAAGCTGCGGACCTTGTCCCTAAGAGGGAGTGCAACCCCATTCAGGGTCAGGTCAAATCCACCCTCTCCGAAGCCCGATCCGCCAACCAACAGAACCTCCGTCTTGTCTGGATTGAGTTTCAGTTTATTAGATCTCATCCAGGCCATTACCTCAGCCAAGCACCGGTTCAGCACAGCCACTGCCTCACCTGGATTAGTGGAAAATGAGAGGTAGAGCTGGGTATCATCAGCGTACTGATGATTCTGTAGCCCACACCTCCTGATGACCTCTCCCAGTGGTTTCATGTAGATGTTAAACAGCAAAGGGGACAAAATGGAGCCCTGTGGTACTCCATGGCATAGCTGCCATGGCGCAGAGCCATAGTCCCCCAGCACCACCTTCTGGAATCAGCCATTGAGATAGGAGCAGAACCACTGCAAAGCAGTGCCTCCGACCCCCAATCCTGCTAGCCTATCCGGAAGGATACCATGGTCGATGGTATCGAAAGCCGCTGAGAGGTCCAGAAGAACCAACAGGGATGCACTCCCCCTGTCCTTCTCCCTGCACAGGTCATCATACAGGGCGACCAAGGCAGATTCAGTACTGTACCCGGGTCTGAAGCCGGACTGAAATGGGTCCAGATAATCAGTTTCATCCAAGAGTGCTTGGAGTTGTCCCGCCACCACCCACTCTAACACCTTGCCCAGAAATGGGATGTTGGCCACTGGTCTATAGTTAGTGGCCATCTCTGGATCCAGTGATGCTTTCTTCAGGACCGGTCGGACTACTGCCTCCTTTAAAGGGGCAGGCACCCGACCCTCCCTCAGAGAAGCGTTAACCACTTCCAAGATCCTGATCCCAATCCCGTGCTTGGAATTATTTATTAACCAAGACGGGCAAGGGTCCAATAGGCGAGTGATGGGACGTACTCGTCCAAGCACCTTGTCCACATCATCGGGCCGCAATAACTGAAATTCATCCAATAATTCTGGACCAAATGGCAGCATTGGCGTCTCCCCAGAAACCTCTGATTCATTAGTGGAGTCCAGCTCGTGACGAATCTGAGCGATTTTCTCCCTGAAATGCTTGGCAAAGTCATCACAGCGTGCCTTTGAGGGTGGAACCGGATCTTCC